TCTATGTATACCGGAGCAGTTTTCAGTATATTTGTTTACTTCTATTCACAGTTCTAAGATAACAAAAGCAGAGCAGAGTGACAAAATATCAGTGACGATTTTGAGCGAACCGATAATCTTCTGCCCGTTCCGGTTCAAGTTTTTCTATTCAATGATTCTGCTCAATGAATAGATATCTGGACATATTTTGCATACATCTTGACGGCCTGTATCGGGTGTCTGTAAGTCTACTTGTTTACGGTCGTTAAGGGTAAAGAAATTGCAGCCTTAAAAGTTTATTACTTCATTTCCTGGCACAGCTTAGCAGATTTGCAAAATAGAATTTTATAAATTGAATTCGTTCCTCTTTTCCCGTTGATAATGCGTTACATCATAATTCCACTTACCTCAATTTCATTAACGGAAGGCAAAATTGTCTGTTCTCTGAACATATATAATAAAATCGTTTCTGGTCTTTATTAATGTGCTTTTATAGAACAAAAAGCACAAACAAGAAGTATTTTCCGCAGCGCAGGTAATTCCTTGGCTATCAGAGAACGTTGGGTTTGACCCAATTCCGCCCTTATTTCTCCCCCAGTATACTGAACTGAACTCCTTTCTGGTAAACAACATTTTGCGACTCAAGTTAACTCAATGAACAAAAAAAACAACCTTAACTGTGTGTTAAACCCCCCACTCAAATTTTGATCTTCGCATTTCAACAGATATACAATCTTGTGCACGCCGTATAACTTAGTCAAAAAGTATCAAAGCAAATGCTTTCTTTATATATGTATACCTATGTGAGGAGTATGGTAGAATGCCTTTGTCAGACATAAAATATACACAGACAAACATTACCTAGAAATACATGGGAGAATGGAAGAGTCCTGTCTGATTTAATAGCCGTCTGCCAACAGTCGCACAGGGGCTAGTAGTTTAGGTGGCAAAAGTAGCTTATGTAGTCCCACTCATATAGACCTAGACCCAGCATTTTGTCCTATGAAAACGGTGATTATAGAGTTTCGGGGGGTGGGGAAATAGGATAGGCAGGGAAGGACATTTTTAGCAGTGTAAAGTGAAAAGATGTAGCCGAAGTTGTTTCCTGCGGCCGCTGGGAGTAAGTTATTCCGCATGTAATTTAAAGGTGTGCGCGGCGCTTCGCGCAGAAGACTATACTAATCTTACCCCAGAACGGTAAGGTGGATCTCAGGTAAGTTGAAGTGGGCGACCTCCTAACCACATTTCTATTTTCGGGAATTTCAAGAAACCTGCAATTTGATAATCGGGGTTGTCCGCAATACGTCAAACGATAATACAGAGTAGGAAAATCTACAGATATAAATCAGAAACACTTCCAAATACAATAAAATAAAAACTGCATATAGCAGTTATTTAAGTATATTTCACTGCGTATTCTAATTCCCCACCCGCAAAACTCTTTAAACACCATTTTCGTAGGTCAACATGATGGAACTGGGGTATATGGGTGGGATAGCATAAGCTACTTTTGTCGTTTAGGCAAAATAACATTACCGGCAAAAGCAAGCGAAATATGGATGTCCAGTTCTGGGTTATTAGCCGTTTTTTGCCAACCGCCCGACACTTCAACCCACGACCTGTATGTTAGAAGTCCTAAGCTCTAACCAGTTATTCACGCGCTCATTGTGCTATCGGTTACTATCAGGTATATTAACGGTGGTGTTAGATCACTCACCGATCGGGTTACGGAACAGACTCTTCCGGTAGTGCCTTGGAGCTCTATCCTCCTCTCGAACCCCGCCAGGAGCCGCACGTAGGATTGACTTTCACATGGATTGTAATTCTGCCGGATCGCGAATGAAAACCGGTCGATACAAGAGCAAATAGTAATTTGTTTGAGCTACTTGTCAAAACCGGAACACCTCCTAAATCATTTCAATATGGAAGCTGCTCTATCCGTAAAGAATAAGGTTACTGTTTCAGATCCTTCGAGTATCTGAAAGTATTTTCTATCAGATACTTCTCCCCAAATTTTGGATCATCCTGTCGCTGTTAGTCATTTCCCCAGCCTGTAATAAGGGACTAAGACCGAACCAAAATGTTCGAACATTTGTGCGCACAAATCTCCCTATAGGTGCTTCTAAAGGCGTTTCCCACTCTCCCCCACTTTTGACCCCCC